ACATTTTTTTTCCCTTTTCGTCAAAAATACCTTAAAGTTTCTACCATCCCAGAACTGAGCGTGGCCTTCTATTTGGGATATGAAGGGGTACCAGTAAAGAAGCAGAGGGGTGGTAAACCATCAAAAAACAACATCAAATAATGAAGCTGCTTTTCTTGAGTGACTGATAAACTGGCTCTAAGGGCAATTCCAAAAGCAAAGGTCTCCTACTTCCCTCAGCAGTGGTGCATCACTGAAATAACCCATCACCTCCCAGGATGGCCACCTGGTCATGCAGCATTCATCTCACAAACAAGTTCCGTTATTTTCAAGTATTGTCAAAAAGCTTTGTTCGCATAGAAAAGAGAGACATTCTCTATGCCTACAGAGGCTTAACACAGCCGAGCTTGCAGAAACGGCGGGAAAAGTGAGGGGAAGAAGGAAACTAATGTTTATTTAATGCCCACGATGTGCCAGCATTAAGCGTCACAACAATTTTAAGGGGTGGGTTCTTCTCCCCAATCTGTACGTGAGGAAGCATGCTCAGAGAGGGAATAAGATATGTGCAATCACACAGCTAGTCAGTGGTACTGATGACTCTTGGGGCCCTGGACTCTTTGACCTCAAAGCCCATGTCGTTTCTGCTTATAGAACATCACGTGGCGTAGACGATTAAGCTAACATGAACACAATATACAAGTGACATTTCCTGGAAGGAATAAGGACAATTACTGAGGTACTGTGAAGGCAGTTGTGTGAGTCCTCCTTTAAGTTGGAATGATTCTAAGTATCTTCTTGTAGACAGTTGGGATAGTTTTCCATCAAAAGGGAAAACTTAAGAAATGTTCAGTGAAACAGAGTGTGGTACACAGATACCAGTACCTCATGGTGGTGCAGAATCGGAATAGGATCAGAGGCACTGTTGGCAGGGTGTGGGGAAGATAAGCCTACATTTCTAGAACACCTACCACGTGGTAGCACCTGTGTTTGGCATTTCACAAGCAGTAGGGATGGGGGAGAAGGACAAGAGCCTTCGAGTCAGAGAAACCTAACTTTGAAAACCCAGCGCGGACGCTTACAGTTTTCTGAGCTTGGGCAAATTACTTAATTCTTCCGTCTCCATTTCTGTAACATGGGAATAATACTACCTATAGTGAAGGAGAAGTAAAGACACTACCATGTCTAATAGATTAGCAGAACACTTGGTGTGAACTAACGCTCACAAAAATTGTAACTGTGATTAGTCACTTTCACAAATGTTATCCAACTTAACTCTTATAATTACTCTACTGTAATGTATTGTGATCCAAGTTCTGTGGATGAGGAAACCTGGGTTATTGGAGTTTAAGAAACTTGACCAAGGTTGCAAAGTGATAAATGCTGGTCCGAGTATTGGAAACCAGGCCATTCTCATAACAAAGCTTTGTCCTTAATACTATTCTCTGCTACCGGAAGGGGGCCTGCTGGAGTTGACCATGTTGAATAATGGTTTCCTCCAGGAAATTAAAGGGAAAATGTTTTTAAGCTCTATTTTTTTCTAATCAAAATGAAAATTCCTTTATTGAGTTGCATGAAAAACAATTTAGATGACCATGTTTATTGAATTATTATTTATTTTTTAAAGTAATTTGATCATTGACTTTTTTCTTAATGTCAATAAGGAAATTGGTGTTGCCTTTTAGCTAGTAAGACATTAATATTTTGGCATGTTAAGAAGTGACTAAATAAAGGATGTTGTTATATGAGGCCCATCTTGTGAAGCTGGGGACCACATGTAGCTCAGGGGTCATTTGAAGGGGACAGAGAGGGTATTGGGTAGTTGCAGCCTCACCACACACCATAAATAAACTAGAGCTCCAAGGACAACTGTGTTCATCCAACAAATATTTACTTAGCACAGGTACACATGCTTCCTGCTCTCATGGAGCTTACAAGCAAACAAAGTAACTTCAGATTATGGTAACTGCTCTGAAGACAATAAAACTAGGTCAGATGGAGAGTGACTGGGTGGGTGACTGGGGAGAGATGACATTGATGCTGACACCTGAATTACAAGAAGGAGCTAGCTGTGCAGATTAGTGGGGAGAGGAGTGTGGAGGGGACCGTTCCAGGCAGAGGACATAGAAGGGCTCTGGGCAGGAGAAATCGTCCAGTGTTCCGGGAATATAAAGGAGCAGTGTGGCTGGAAGGTTGTAAACAAAGGAGAGTAACACAAGGTAAAAACAGAGAGACAGGCAGGGGGCCGCATCAGGTCCAGTGTCTGCCGTAAGGCATTTGGAATTTATTCTAGGTGCAGTGGAAGTTGTTGTAGGGTTTAGGTTGAATTGGGACCTGGTGGTTTTAGATCGGCTGCTGCGTGGAGAAAGGAGTTTAGAGGAAGAAGACCGTTTAGGAGACTGCTGCCTGGAGAAAGGCTTCTTGAACTTGAATGTGAGTCCCTGACCCTCAGGGATTGTAAAACCCAGAGTTTCTGATTCTGTAGGTCTGAGGTAGGGCCTGAGATTTCACCTTTGGAATAAACTTTCAATAAAGCTGATGGACCATGCTTTGGGAACCGCTAGAAAAGAGCATTTCCCCAACATTTTTCTTGGGAAAGCGAGTTCCAAAGTATGTTAATTGATAGTCTTTGTGGAAAAAAAAGAACCATGGCCAAATAAATTTGAGGAATACTTGAATTTTATGGCCATTCAGTATATGTTATCATCTTAAAGGTCCTGAGATGTTTTACAGTTAAGAATCCTTTGTAACCATGTTTAATTCCTCCATTCCCAAGTGTCTAAGTAATGACCTTGAGGACTGACTGAAATGAGGTCTTTCTGGTGATCAGTTGACAATTCAGAAGGACTTTGCCAATAGCGAAAGTGACCAGGGCCATTATTTCTGCTGAGGAAAAAAAAGACCCCTGTACTACGTAAAATTTATCTAATCTTGAAATTCTTAATGTCTTCAGTCCTTTTAATTTCTCGGATCAGTCTTGTTTCCACGATGTGCACTTTCAGAGTGTAAAAGTTTTGTATGACATAGTGATTTTTCTGTTCTTTTAACCAGAGGATCTTTTGTGTTCGTAGTATATCACGCTGAGTATCTTTATATAAAACATATAAGGGCAGATCTGCTCTAGGTGAAATGTAGAAGTTGGGGGACTGGAGACATCCCATTTCCCTCACGTAGACAATCCCTTCCCCCATGGTTCTCAGTCACCGCAGAAAGGTTTCCTGAGTCCTGAGGGTTGCTCAGAACACATTCTGTAGGG